TAATGCAGAGGTTTGTGAGCCATTAAATATTCCTACACTGCAGGTATTTCAGATTATTTCTCCTAATGCATTATAAAGCTAGATAAGCCTTTCTGAACACACATCATATAATCAATATCATAAGAATTTCCTATGTCCAAGAAAAACATGCATTTTTAATACCACTTCATGTTATTTTTGGCCGTTTGCCATGAAAATGAGACAGATATTTTAATATGTGATTCTTTTAGATGGCTGGGGCTGTTTCGTAGATGCACCATGGAATTCAGTGAATAATGCCTATTAATAAAAGTAGAACTAAAGCTGTCTGCAGAGCTCCCTACTGCATCAACACCCTTCAGCGATATTTTAGTAAGCTCAGATAAGTGTGGCAGTTCTTAACCAATATGATGTCAGCTCTAGGTATGGGGCCACATACCCTACGGGATACAGAACCTAAATGAAAAACCTGCTGGTCCAGTCACAAAAGTATTACCAACAAAGTGCTCTTTACACAGCAAGCCGAACTATCATCTTGTAGCTTCATTAGTTCAGTAGAGCAAAAGACGCATAAAATCTATAAATCCTCTGGAAAGCTCTGAGCCATCCCCTGAGCCTGGGACTGCAATGGGTGTCGACTGTCTCTGCGGCGGCAGCCCCCGGGCACAGCAACACGGCAGCCGCGCCTGCCCTCTGCTGGGGCTGCTAAGCTGAGTATAATAAAGCTGAGTATAAACCCTCTGCCGCTAACAGCTAGGGAAGAAATGCTCTTTCACCAAATCCGATGTATTGCATACATTTCTCCTTAAAAATAATACAAACAATCCCCAGAACAGGCCTCTGTACAAAAACATACAAAAAAAGAAGCGACTGAGCAACATCCTATCTCTTCCCCCTGCCGCCTTTCAGTTTTTTATTTTTAGAATGCAAGTAATTTTGTATGCTGGATGCAGGAAAAGTCTTGTCCTTATAAGCAAAGCAGAATTTTGTTATAGAGTTGAGCAAAGCCAAGATTTTAAAAGAATAGAACTTTTCTGCTTTTATGTCCTGGTATAGTTTTGAGGGGGACTTGGAGTGGTTGAGGGGTAGGGGAGGGGTAGGGATGGCAACTGTATAAAATGAAATACATTTACATTCCTGGGTGGATAAGAGAGTAAAGAAAGCTCATTTCTGAGAAAATTTCAACTGAGCCTTTCTTATTAATTCATTCTCTGTGAACTAGGACAGTGAGAGAGTGCGCAGTCCTCCTGTTCTAGGAATTTTGCTTAATGCTTTGCATACTGATATATGCCTGACCCATTGCACTGAAACATAACTCTTATATAAATACTAAAACATAAATATATTTTATACCTACAGGTTAAGGAGGAAGACTGCAAGTCTACTGTGCCTTCTATAAAGGCAAATAACTTCCAGGTATACTAGAACCATTTCAAACAAATATAAAAGGATACAAGTTTATTCAAATATATACACTTGAAATCTGCAAACATATTACTCTTTTTTGCAAAGGAACAAAAAGATTAGAATTTGGGTAGAAAAAAAGAAGAGTGAAGTCAGTTGGAAAATGGTTTCAATAAACACCACTTTAACAGTATAGCTTTGTATGGTAAAATGACGCTTTTGCACACTGCCAAATTTGTAGATAAATTATTATATACACATTTCATGCTTATTCCACATAAATTTTTTACATTAACTATGTATCTATCCAGCACTGACTTAAAACAGTTTTGTTCTTTAAACAGCAATTCAAGAGTATGACCAAGGTTTTTTAAAGCATTTACATTATTGCTTTGTGTAATTATTGTTAGCAACTAAGATATTAAAACAATAGCTATTCTGGATTTTTTAAAAAGATGTTTTAATTCAAACCTGATACAGTTACTAAAAACATATATATTGTCCTTCAAAGCACAGCATATTTGAGGGTTTTTTCCCATTATCTCTATTGGCCCAAGTATGCAGCCGCTATTCTACACCACAGAAATAAGAATGAAAAAAAATGCATTAGTTACTCCCTGCACAGGTCCACCTGCCCACAGTCTGCCCCATATCCTGCCACCTGGTATTTAGTTATCTCTCACCACGGACCATGCATGTTAGGATCGTAAAGGCATCAGTTCCTTGAGGGGGGATGGGAATAAAGTGACTCCTTTATCCCCCTTTGGGCCTATTTCATTGACAGATCCCAGACCACTCACTGCAGGATAAGCAGTGTCTGCTGGATCCGCTCCTCAGCAACAACGTGGAGACATCCTCCACTGGACTTGGCCACCAATGGATACCACTGGAGCTCTGCCTGGGGTACTTGTGAAAATCTGACAGGAAACCACATAGTTGGAATGCAACCCTTTTCTGAATTCTAGAAAAAAATACCTGGTTAGGATAACATAAGCATTTAATTTCATCTAGATGGTGGCAAGTTGATATTGATCCAAGTCATCAACACGTGATCTAGATGTCTAAAACACACTGCCTCATTGCTAAAGTGCTTCCCCCTTAATTTTACCAACCATTACTTGTTAATCTGTGTACACTTCACACAAGAAAAAACCAAAGACTACAATGAGTACATAAAAAGGTTATCTTTATTCTTTTGTGTTGTTAGCAATGTAGTTATTTTTGTGTAAAACTTCCTGCATGCAGTTCATCAGTACACTATGAGCCAAGAGTTTCTATAAAAGCAGTAGCCCATCTATATTTCTTTTATAAGAAATGCAAGGTATTCCACTGTCCATTGCACAAGTTCACTATCCATTCTTATGAATAAAGATTTTGAATAACAAATTATATTTAAAGAGCTCCTAATGCCGTATGATCAACAAAAAAGCAGACAGTGTGAAGCTAACACTGGGGAAAAGCAATGTTTCTATGACTAGTATTACCCTGACAATTGACAGACAGGATTATAATTTTAAAAGAAACCCTTCTATTTTGTTTCACACACAAGGACCTACCTACTGATCAGAAAAAGAACACTCCTGTCCATTTCTTTTATAATTATTCCTTATTAAAATAGGTTTAATATAATTAGCAGAAACTTACTTGCAATTACCAATTTACATTGTATCTTAGGTTTCCCAACAGTAAAGCATCATGGATAGACAGCAATAAAAATTACCAACAACATGAAGATATGTGTAGTTTCTTATAATAAGTATAAAATGTTATACAATAAAACTATTTTCAAAATAACAAGAATAGATCAATAGATATATAGAAGTTTTTTCCTAGCCCCACATTTTAAGCAATATATTTGTCCTGTGTAGTCTGGTTATTTACTGCATATTTGCTGATTACAAAACTCAAACAAAATAAAATCTGTAATAGCAGCAAACTATTGCTTACTGGTATAAGGAAAGATGGTCTCGTCAAACAGTTTTTCTTTTTACCACTCACATGTCTCTCCATCTTAGACTTTAATAGCTGTAGGATAATAGCAGCAAGCATGCATCAGTTAAAGCTTCCCAATTATTTTGAGTATTACAGAATATATCATATTGTCTATTGAAATGTCATAAGCTACACTTACTAGGGTACATTTGACGCAGTAAGTACAGTACTTGGGTCATTCTCTCTTTGTTCAAACAGGTACCACTGCATAAAACAGTTGATTAAATAACAGAGGATATTTTACTCATATACATAGTGTCAGCCTGGTTGATAAAAAAAGTCATCTAAACAACCCTGTGGGACAAAGCTGATTTAAGTATGTCCTTTTGGTCATCTCAGCTGTCTACAGAAGACTGCATTACATACAGTGGAAACCTGACTAAAGTGCCATAGGGGGGTGAAAACCACCTCTGATGTGTGTATTTTGTGTCTCTGGCATGACACATCCTTCCAAAGTATGGAAATTCAAGCCTGAGGTATACATTAATGTAGTACTAGTCCCAAAAGGTACTTTGCTATCAATTTATACACGTATCTTTGATTATGATCCTAAGTGGGATATATTCATGTGAAATACAATGTGTACAAACAGAATTTATAATGAAGTATGGAAACTACTAATGAAATTACATGGTCTACATTAACAAAAGAAAACAAAAGCCAAGCACCAAAAAAACAAAACAAAGAACAAGCCCTAGGACTTTATTTATTTCAGTAATTCCCTGTAGGCACAACTAGGCAGCTGCAGATTTTCTGTGAAGAGAACTGTTTAAATTTCTCAGGAATTACGAGATATCTTGGATTCTGAAAGTAACTGTATTTTTTCACAGTTTCACATTTTTCAAAACAGGAGCTGTGTGTGGAGCATAATTTATTTAAATCATTGTATCTGAAATGGACTGTATAATAAATTAAGAAATACTTAAAAGTACAAAACATAAGTATATTAAAACCAAGAGACTAAACTATAACCTACTTTCTGTGAAAAACATTCCCTCATTTTGTTTTCTGATAAATTCTCTAGGTATACTCTGGTCTTCTTTATAATTTGCTGTTGATTTGATCTAGATCATGAGGTTCAATAATCTAGAATCTTGACTTTCTGCTTTTAGAAGTTGCTTGAAGAGAACAATGTTCACATTATGATGCCGTAATTACATACTCCTGACATCTGTGTTCCACTGCAAGAGTATTTAGGTTTGTAACTCAGCACAGCAGAACTACAAATAGCAGTATGTGAATTAAAGGAAATGAGATAATGAAAAAAATTGACACACATAGACCATACATAGGAGGTGAAATGTACACAGTGGATACACTTATTCCACAAAAATACAGACTTATTAGGACTGGTAATTTTTCACTCCATTAAGGGTTCCTACAGTCCAAGTAGAAATTTTGTCTCCTCTCTACCAGTGCCAGCTGTTAATAAAAACTATTCTAGCAAGGTTGTTTCCCTGTTACAGAAGTTTGCTAGTGAAGGGTCATTGTCTTGGTACAGGCACTACTGTAGTAGTGGGTAAATATGTAAAAACTTGTAATTTTGGCATAACCCTCCAGTAAGAGTGCTATTAATAAAAATGTCATCTTCTCAGGCTTGTGGACATTCATCATGGACAACATCTTTATGTCTTTTTACTTTCTTTCCTTTCTTTCCTCTTGTGTTCTTTTTCTGATTTGTCATCCTCATATTTTTCTTTTTCTGGTTTTGTTACACTATCATAAGAAGGTGGAGATGCACTGGATCCAGACATATCCACATTCTCTGGAGGTGAATTTTCACTTCGCTTACCAATAATTGTATCTTTTTTAAAAAGCAGATCAACCCCATCATTCCTATACATAAACAAAAGTTTCTTCACTGACTGTCTTAAAAGGTAACATCTGTAAGCACGCTGAATGATAGCAGCAGACACTTCCTCTTGTTTTCTTTTTAATGTGGTTGTAATTGGTTCATAGGAAGCTTTTGAAGGATTGGCTGCCATAAACCGATCCTCCATCTGTATTCTGAGGGAATCCATCTCATCACTATCCCCCAAAACACGCTTTGTGAAAGCAAACAAGATATCAAGGCAGTGAATTCTGTCACCGCTTACCATGGGCAAATCCATTGCAATAAGCTGGACTTTGTTTGGTTTTGGTATAAGAAGAGGAGGATCTAAAGAAGCTGCAAAATCAGACAATTTAGTATATTCTATGAATTGTGTTGCATCTGGATCATATTTTTCCCAAACCTCATAGAACATCTCAAAGTCATCCTCGCTCAAGGGTTCAGCACTTTCTTCAGTAGCAACACTGAAGTTCTCCAGAATCACAGCAATGTACATGTTCACCACTACCAGGAATGATATGATAATGTAGCTGACAAAGAAGAAAATCCCAACGGAAGGGTTGCCACAGTCACCTTTAACGGAGCTCCCTGGATGAGCTTTGTTAGGGTCACAGTCTGGCTCCCCACTGTTAAGAATTGGGGATAGCAAAAGATCCCAGCCAGCAGATGTGGTAATTTGAAACAGGCAGATCATGCTGTTGCCAAACGTCTCAAAGTTGAACATGTCATCTATACCAGCTTCCCTCTTAACATAGGCAAAGTTGGACATGCCAAATATGGCATAGATAAACATGACCAGGAACAGCAGCAGACCAATGTTGAACAAAGCAGGTAGAGACATCATCAAAGCAAAGAGCAGAGTGCGGATTCCCTTAGCGCCCTTAATGAGACGCAGGATTCGACCGATTCTGGCAAGTCGCACAACTCTGAACAAAGTGGGGGAGACAAAGTACTTTTCGATCATGTTAGCTAGACACATACCTGTGAAACATAAAAAATAAAATTAAAAGGGCAACATTTTATCACAGATTAGAAGTATGAATAAAGAACAACTCTACCTGTGGAATTAGTGGAAACTATAATTGGAGATAAATTTTACCTGCTATGGGTAATTTTAGTTTTTTTTCCCCAGTACTCTTACAAAAAAAAAAGTGTGTTAAAATTTATATAGAATTATTAAGACAGTTACTACTCTAAAGTATGATTTTCATTTCCTAAATAATCAGGAGAAATTAAGATTACTTATCTCCTCCAATCTGCAAAACATGACAGAGATAAAGCTTTTAATACATGTCTTACTGTATCTCATTTTGAATATAAGAATTTCTTACCTACTATTGAAAGAATAACAACCACAAAATCAAAAATATTCCAGCCAATGGTGAAGTAATAACAACGGAGCGAGAACATTTTGAAGACACATTCGCCAGTGAAAAGGACAACAAAGACTAAGTTAATCCGGTATAAAATATTTTGCATCAATTCACTTTGGTCATCTGTTTCTATCATCATGGTGACCATGTTAAGACAGATAAGAATCATAATGGTGATGTCAAATGCTTGCTTTGTTACGATATCAAACACTAGACCTTGCAATTTGTTCTGAAGGAAGAAAAAAAGAAAAGGTGATAGTATCTTGTACATAATAAGCATCCTTTTTCTCCCTTTTCCTCTCATCTTTTTCCTTCTTTCTCCGCCAAAATATACAACCAAGGCTTTTCACTGTACAGTAACTTCTTTATTTGTCAGCTCTATGTCTTCTCTCAAAACCCAACAGGCTTCTATTTCTTCAGATTCACTGATTCTCTACTTCATCAGGCATAGCAAATATGAGATATTTTTCCCCGAGAACAGAAGTATGTGCACATTTCAATTCAGAATGCAGGGCTAACTTGAATTAGGCCTAAACCATTTCAGAGTTAAGGGAGAAATTTTTTGATAGTTAATGTACTGCTACAATTTCTTCCCAAATGCAGATGATACACGAATAGCACAAATTCTTACCGCTGGTCTAGGTATAGGTTTTTGTGGTTTCTTGGATCCCAGCTTCTTCATTGCATTGTAGTATTTCTTTTGCTCTTCTGTCATGAAAATGTCTTGACCTCCAAGGTAAAATAATAAAAACAGAACTGATTATAAGTCAAGTCTTTAAATACATTAATTCCCTGCATTGCAGAACATGTTTGTTGTTAACCATGTATTAATTCTTATATATTGTTACCAAAACCAAAATATAGTAATTATATCACAGATTAATAAAATATCTGACAAGTCTTGATGGAAAAGTAAACAAGGAATGACGAAAACACCAGAACTTCTCTCTTTCTTATTAAAAAAACCCTGCATACCTGATTAATTCAATTAAATATGTACAAAAAACCCTTGTAAAAATATACATTCCATGGATACTTATAAATCTAACATCATGAACTCCACACCAAATCAACCAACTACAAATAAAAAAGCTCCAAAGGTAGAAACATTCACAGAGAGCTGTTATGCCTTCAGGGAAACTATATGAAGAAAAATAAATTACTGATATTATTTTTCAGGATGCATGTTTTATCATTTGAGTACAGGTATCTCAGTTCAGATGGTTTTTTTGCCACAATACCACAGTGTATATGAGGCTTGATCGTCCCCCTGTACAGAGATCATGAGAAGCACGGATTTTGGAGTTTCTTGCCTGAATAAGAGGAAAGCAGTCTGAATAAAAAGGTATCTAGACTGGTATGTGAAATACACATTGGAAACACTTGTCAGAAATACAACTAATGTTGACAAGAAACATCTTTCTTTCTTTCATGGATTTGTTTGTAAGTACATTCAGGTATGCACGATGCCAAAGCAGTGGTATTTGGAAATGAGCTTCAGAGTCATAAAAGATTCTGTGACTCTGTCACACCTACTGTCAAATGCAGTGTCAATCTTATTGAGTAATGATAAATTTGGATGAAGATGCATTTGGGTCTTTCAGCTGTGGCTCCATACAGACATAAAGATTTAGAAGTCAGAAGAGATGTTGTTTAGCATGCTCTCCTCATAATCCAAATATTTACATAAAATTCAGCTCTTAGAAAGTAAGGGTTTTGAAAGAAAAACAAGAAATTAATTTGCTGATTATGGTGGAAATATGATGTGACTGTCAGGAGATTTTACGCAGTAAAAAAAAAAAAGCTATACAGGAACTGGCATTGCACCAGGGATTTCTTCTGCTGCCTTGATGGAATAGCTATCAGGAGTGAACAAGTCATCATTGCCCCAGTATGCTGTCCATAGAGAGAATAGTGGTCTCAAGAAGAGATACATTTTACATGCCTTTGAGAAACGTAATGGTTAGGAATTTGACAGCTTATTGAACACTTTTTCCCCCATGAGAACTAATGTAATGAAAATATGTTGCACACAGGAACCAAAGAAATGCACACCATTTAACTACACAGGGACAGTATACTGCAACATGAAGTCTTTCCCATTCATATCCTAACATTGCCCAGAATGGAGAGGTCTCGGTGATTTACAATTTTTTCGTGCCGCTGTCGTGCTTCCACAGCTTCTCAGCTGCACACCCTCCCTCACCATCACTGCCACTGCTGGGCTCTGTCTTCAGCTCCAGCTCTACGTTTCCTGCCACCGTGCCCCACTTTAAATGCATGTAACATTCAGCTATTGCACTCTTCATGCAGTGTTTCCCACTTTATTAATGAATAGTTATAGGCATTAATAGAGTCATTAGGTGCCACAATATATAAAGCAATGGTAATTTATTTTTTGTTTATAATTGGTAATTTATTGTTCTGGATTCTTAACAGATCCAGAGGCAGCTTCTTCTTTGTACAATGATCTTCTGTTACGCTCACTATCACCTTTTTGAAGGCCAAAACCTACTACCACTCTTCTTCCAATCTTCCTTTTCCTTTTGTGGGACATCCAGAGAGCTCAGACCAGAGAAGCACAGCTTTCTCTGATGGCAGCTCTTGATCAGCCCCTACCTCACTGCACTCACCCATATGTTCAGCCAAAGGCAAAACCTTTGAGCCTCTGTCCCTCAGCCCCGCATTCAGCCCCCCTGCTGACCAGCTGGCCTGCAGGGGCTGTGATGAAAAGAGACTCTACTGCAGAGTTCAAATTAACAATTTATTTGAACAACATCTGCAGATGCAGTACGTCGCTATTGCAGGTTTTATGGATACAACGGAGACTGCGCTATTGCAGTGTTAAAAGCAAGACTACACTATTATACCTACAAGAAATTCACAAAATGCACTATTGCAACTACAACAGTCACAAAATGCACGATTACAGCCCACAGGCAACTCACGACAGACCACTCACAAAACTCACTATAACTGCCCATAAGCAACTCAGAACTCCCAGGCTACTCACAAAATTCACTAATACAATTCCCAAGCAATTCGTGGAACACACTGTCACAACTCACAAACAACTCAGAATACCACACACATGTTAGTCGATCACCTGCAACTACAGACTTAAAGCCTGCCAAATATTCACTTACCTCTTCAGGTAAGGGCTCCCACGTAGGTTACCTTGGTCAGGATTCCAACCAAGGGGGAAGGTTCTCGTCACTCTATGGCTTGAGAAATAACTCCCCAATTTCTTGCCTGAATGTTAGGGTTTTTGTCCCCTGGTGTACAGCAGAGCAGGCAGGGGCATGTCTGAGTAGATTAGACCACATGCGGTGCCTGTCTCCGGCAATACTTCCCCATATCTTTAGTTATTTCATACCCTTGTATTGTTTGGTCCCTTGGGGCCAGACAGATATCCTCCAGCTTACTTTGTTTTACTTTCCAGCAATTTAATAGTGGTTTGATTGGGACTCAGGGCATATTATCTGTTGGGTGATTTCAAGGCTCAACTTAGGTTTCTGTTCTTTGTGTGATGTGGCACTGCCCTATTTTAGTCTTGGGCTTATCAGACAACTCAAGGCTGAGCTATCTATGCAGCTCCCCATGTGTTGTCTCTGCAGACGTAGGACCTCAGGGCAATCCAAGGCTGAGTCACTCTTGCAACCCCCCGTGAGTCACCTAGTGCTCTGGACATTACTGATACCTGTTTGAACTATGAGCCAGACAATCGCTGGGAGACAGGAACCCAACTGACATTGCAGTGGATACACAGGAAAATGCTAAAAAATAATAATAAAAAATAATTTTAAAAACCCACAGGCGTGGTTAAGTACCATGGACAGATTTTGTTTATGATGTTTCTAGCAGACATGGCCAGCCCATGCAGAAGTGCCCTCTAGGGTATGTGAAGGCAGAACAAAGACAAGAAAAATACCGCTGGGTAGCGTCAGTACTGGGTAGCCTGGTCTGCACATTTCTACGAGCACAGGTGCATTGATAAATTCAAAAGACAGGCAACTAATGTTTGCAAATTTGCTACATAAAATTGAGGAATAGCATGTACATAGACTTTTCCCCAGCCTAACTGTTGTACTTTGTGATACCTGCGGTATTTTACTTTCTTGGTGACAGTTACAACAGCTTCAAATGTACAAGGGGTGTATACTACAGTGCCAGAAAAACCCTTCTCTGGCTGGCTTCTGAGACATAATAACTACAGCAGACAGTGTCTGCTAAATGACCTTAATAGAATTTATAATCACCTCATTACTGAGTAAGGTCACCTTGTTACAATGCAGACTGCCAAAAATGCCAATAGCAAGTATATACCCTCAGTCTTCCTCTCCAAGGATAAGAACCTGAACCACTTTCATCTTAGGTACTGGAAACCCCTGAAGTTTATTCCAGGGGAGATGTAAACATCTTGAAGGATGAAGATGTCATCAGGTTTTGAACCACAAACTCATTCTTTCTATTATGTGGGTCTGCAGATAAGAGACTCAAAGGATCTGAAGAAGCAACATATGAAGCTGCATACTCCAACCTCAAGTTGAAAGAATAACTGGAAGTTTCCACTGCAGTAAGTCTAGGAATATCCTTTTTTTGAATGCAACAAATCAAACCTGACAAGCCATCTAGAATCACAAATGAAGAAAATACGTAGTGCCTTGCTATTACATAGCTCACTTTAAAAAAAAAACCCTCAAAAAACCCACACCAATACACCAGTATGATTCTGCTCAAAATGGGTAAAGAAAAGTAAGACTATCGTAAAACTCAGTCAGCGTTCATACATTTGCTGAATGCTCAGAAACAATGAATTTCTGTTAAAATGAAACATGTGATACTTATCTTCTTTTTTTGTTGGTTGAAGTTATCTATGATGACACCAATGAATAAGTTTAGGGTGAAAAATGATCCAAAGATGATAAAGGCAACAAAGTAAATATACATGTACAGGTTGTCCTCATACTTGGGCTGTTTTCCTGCCTATATAACATAGAAAAGCAGCAATACATCACAAATAACAATTAAGACAAATTGCAGAATACTGAGCAGAAACAGAAGTTGCATCCAGCTGGACAGAAACTCCTTGACAAGGGGGAAAACCCAGCTATTTTGGAGCATACTCTACACTTGCTTTATCTTTGAACTTGAAAATCTATTTAATACAAGTGTCTGTAATTGCACACACAAACCTCCAATTCCTCCCCTTTCTGTTTGTCAGTTCTTCTCTAATGACATCTGAAGTTTCATGTAATTCCTACTAAATTTGACAGAACTGTGCAAATCTCAAAAGCAAATCAGTTTCTATGGACTTTATGCAAATGAGGAGCTGGATAGAAGAAGATGCAAACAAATATCAGCATTAACAGAAAAAAAGGCAACATTCAGCAATGTTATTTTCTGACACTGCCAGAGTCTGCAGCTCTGGATTAGCTACTGCAGGTGATGTCACTTATTATTTGGGTTCTTTTTGGAGATACAGGAAAAACTTGTTTGCTAATCTGTATGATCTCAGTGACATAAATTACTGGGAAACCAGATTTAATTTGTTGGGGTTTTAATTTTTTTAATTTTTTAATCTACATATTTTAAATTAAATTAATAATATATTATGTATGTCTACTGCTATAATTCTTTACCTATTTAGAGTATATGTACCTAACTACTTATAGTGCATAGATTTATACAGAAAATTTATCTAGGTTTTACATTTTCATTCTTTATATTTTTCATTATTTCAACTGCCATTCAAGAAGAATTATATCAATCTTATATTTTTTTCCACTTAGTAAATCTTATATTGCACTCACATCTGTAGAATCAACTGCAGCATACATGATGTCCATCCATCCTTTAAATGTAGCCTAAAAACAAAGTTTGTTAATATTTTCTATCAAAGCTCCAATTTTGTAAATGTTCTTAATAAAACACTCTTCTGCAATGTATTTGCACTCACAAAAATAAAGAAAAATATTAAAAGTCTGGTAAATCACAAATGAAGTATTCAAAGGAAGTAATTTACTGTGAAATACCTCTCCCTAATATTTAAACACAGAATAAATTCAAATCTTCATGCAAATTTGTATAAACCCTATGTGGGATGAGTTGCAATCATCAATCTGAGCAAGACTGCAATTTATAAGAAGGCTCTCAGTTCTAACTTTCTGACTATCAAAAAACTGAACAAAGACTCTAAAAATGAGCCACTGTGGGTTAGCTTTTTTCAGACAGAACATGCACATAGTTTTAGAAGAAACTTCAGAAGAAAAGCAGCCCCAAGAAATCTTAAAAAAACCCAACAGAATCATAGAGTGGTTTGGCTTGGAAGGGATCTTTGGAGATTATCTAGTCATTGATAAAGATATTAAATAGAATTGGTCACAGTGCAGACTCTTGAGAGACACCACTTGTTACTGGTTTCCGCCTGGACATTTAGCCGCTGACTGTCTTTGGACACAGCCATCCAGCCAAACTATCCATCTAGCGGGTCATCAATCAAACCTTCTCCAGTGAGCTACAATATTAAGTAAAAACAAGGTATGAATGGTAGGTTTACTGGAAACATTGCATAGCTGAACCATTCTATGAAAGATACGTTACAAAAACTAACGGCATCGCTGTCCTCTACACTGGTAATATATGCAATTGTCTACTGCTTTTTAGCAACAGCTGCTGTCACTCCCTGGAGCAATCAGATGGTAGCCTGCTAGCTCAATACTAACTACTAAAAATCTCCAACTGGTAGTATTTAAAGACAGAATAATCACCAAGTGCTTACGAGCACAAATATTTTCTCAGAAGCAGTTTGTCAAGCAAATCTGATTATAAATATATGTTTTTGTTCTATTGACTCCAATTTACAGATGCTGCATCTAAAAAAGTCTTGAGCTTAGAAATCTAACACTAGTAAATTCTGCAAATGCTTATCCAGAGTTTAAAAGCAAGCTAAAAACTATCTCCAAAAATGCCACTTGATGATAATAATAAATGACTGGGGTGGGACTAGTAAGAATAATAAAAAGGGAAAGAAGTGAATTAAAAAACTTTCTGATCCATAGTTGGCTCTCCTATTGTTGGAAGATCAGATGAGCCCTGGAATGTATCTATTTGACTACCAGGGTAAAAAAATCTAAGTCAACATGTTTTAATAAATCTAGCAAATAAAAGAAAATTAATTCCAGTTGGATTTTTTTTTACTAGATACTGTATTTCTGTAGAACTTGAAAAGGTACTAGCGGTTGGGTTTATATCCATCTAGCAGATATTAAGATATACCTCCTCTTCTAAAATAGCCATAGAATGTATCAAATTTTTACCATGATATTAATCAACTTCATAGAACACTATTATAAAATTAAATCTCATATCCATTCATATATTGTAAAATAACAATAGAAATTATGGAATTAAAATGTTATTTCTACAAAACTTAAAGCTCAAAAATTAAATTATCAAAATCTATACACTTACTACTTGAAGGAGAGAAAGATAACCAGCTCCAACATTATCAAAGTTTACTTTCATATTTTTCCACCGAACATCTGCACCAGTCATCATACGATTTTCACACACAGTTTTGTTACTGACTTCCTCTGGTGTTAATTTATTACCAGTTGTTGTGTTAACACAGCGATAGAATTTGCCAGCAAACAGATTTACTCCCATGATGCTGAAAATTAGCCAGAATGTAAGACAAACCAGAAGTACGTTCATAATGGATGGGATTGCTCCTGTAAGAGCATTCACAACCACCTAGAGTACAAACACGGGGGAAAAAAAATCTTTTTGAAAACAATATGCAGTGCAGTAAAAAGATTATTTTTGAAATATAGTAAGAGATGTATTATAAAACATTAAAATAATACATTGAAGTGTAGCCAATATAAAAGGAATAACACATGTAATACAATCAAACATGCTACTATTGGCCTTGAAAACAGACATGCAGTTCAGTGTTTCTCCATGATTTTATAATTAGGCACACCTTTATAGATCTGTTTTACACATTATTTCTTTTTTTCTTACCCTCATGCCTTCAAAGCGTGACAAAGCTCTTAGAGGTCTCAAAGCTCTTAATGTTCGGAGGGATTTAATTGCACCGAGTTCTGAGAAACCAAGGGCACTAGCTACTAAGCTAATCAAAGAGACCTAGAGGAAACAAAACAAAATAACTTTATTATTATTATTATTTTGATAGCCTGACAATACAAATGTAATACTTTGAGGATGAAAATTTTAATCTGGATATCAGAAAAAAATCCATAAGGACCATAAGAACAAATAAAAAAGAAAGAAAAATGATATAACATTGCATGTAAATTTGAGAACAGAGACATTAATCTCTGGAATTTTCATCCCAGAGTGCTAGTGAGAAGAATGCATACCATACCTGTGCTAAATGAAGGGCAACTTGGATAAAAATAATTTTAATAAAAGGTCATCTTCCCAATAACCTCAACCAAAGCTTGAAATCTACTGAAAACCTAATCCTATTCTGTATGACATAATAATACTAAACAATGCTCTACTACAGATGGATCATTATAGTCATGTGAGCTAGCAGCATTTGCTTTTGCTAACTTGCACCTGGAATAATTCACATACTAGCAGATACATGAATAACTAATAATTCACACTGCCTTCAGGTGATGACAGACTTGGAAATGGTATATACTCAATTAGACTCTGACTTGTGTGACTCCTAACTGCACGACAGTTAGGAACAACCCCAGGTTCCAGTATAAATTG